ATAAGAGCAACTGTAGTGGGCAATAAGTAACTTGCTACAAGAACAAACGTCACACTAAAAACTGTTGAATGACACAGTATAGGGGAAAAGGGTGGCAAGTACTGGGGGCTGAAGCTAGACTGACTTAAGCACAATATATTTATGGGTAAAATATCAAGGCAAAATTTCCACTGAACAATGAACAGGCAGCGAAACAGTGAAGGGCAGGAACATAAGACAGGTCATATCAAGGGGAGGGCACTAGCAGTAGGGGGAAGGTAAATGAAGAAAGAAGGTGAATATTGTTGATGCTCTTTCTATACAGTGTTGAGGTCGCTACAAGAAGGGGAATGGGCTAGGAGGAAGAATAATGGAGGGGATGAACCAATTTGGGGTATAGTACATGTATATATGGAAATGTCACAATGAAATCCCCTGAATAACTATCATAAAGTAACAAAAATGTCCTTTTTTAGTAAATGAAGGACAGGAAGGTAAACAGGTCCTGGCTGGGGTTGAGTACCAGTGGAAGAGGGGAGGGGACAGAGAAAGGGTGAAAGAGGGAAAATCAGGTGGAAGCATTCAGTATTCATGCATGTAAGTAGAACAATGAAACCTGTAGAAATTGCTCTAAGAAAGGGGGAAAAGAAGATCTAATTAAGATATACTGTAAGCACGTATGTTAATGACCCAATGTATCCCCTGTACAATTATAATATGCTAACAATAAAAAAAAAGCTTAAAAAACAAAACAAAACAAAACTTCAGGTTCACATAGTTCAGGTCTATGAGAAAACAGAAACCAAAGGATGCCAAGCCCATAATGCGATGCTTTTTCTCCAACATACAATAGAGTATCTTATTCTAAGGCTCTTTAGACCCTTAATATGAACACAGGTTTCTCATGCTTGCTCTATTCCAGAAATCTTCGAGTTTCAGGAAGCAACAGATGGTTACTCATTGATTCCACCACAATGAGAAACTTCCTTAGATGCAGCCTCACCTCTATCCCAAGGCATCTGTCTCGCCTCCATATTTCATCTACCAAGTTGAAATTGAACGCAAGGGTACAGTTAGCATCCAGGGGATCCAGGGCAAAGAAAATGTGAACCAACCACCACAGTCTCCCTGACTTTTGGAACGAGATCCTGATACATATGACGGTCTGGGGGTTGTGGGTCCCCAAAAATAAAGAGCATGTGATTACTGCTTCACCCCATCTAGCTCTCTGCAAACTCCCAGGCTATAACCACATGTGAAGGCACATGGAATGATTATTTTGCTCTACCTTGTTGAGAAATGTGCCAAGACTGTTAGAAACTCTGCCTGGAATGAATGACTCAACATTAAGTAACAGGACTGACACCAAGAAGCTCCTTATCTCTACTCTTAAATGTCAGATGTATCACATGGGGTCAAAAGAAGGCAGGTGTACATTCTTAGAAAAATTAATCTAGGGTATGTGCTAATATTACATAAGAAACCTATTTTTGTCTTCAGCTTTATGGATGTCTGAGTTTAAAGCAATAGCCAGATGAAGTTAGCAAAAATGACAGTGTAAGACTACACTCGCATTTGTATCAGTGGGATTCTGACCATAGACTGGACACTTACTACACACCAGCTCAGCTAAACAAAAATTTCCCAAGTGTTGAGATTCCTGCATACAGAAAGAGCCTACCACTGGCACCTTCTCATATCTCAAGGGACCCAAACAGTGAAGCAGGCACTCCAAACCACCTTAAGTATCATCAACTGGCAAGGAGGAAGCCGTGAGAGTATCAATGGATACAGTCTTGATTTCACTATTTGAAAATGAAATAGATGTCACCTGTCACTCAACTAAAATCCTGTCACCTATGTATATTTATGGAGATGTGCAGTATACTATGACCCAAAACTGAAAATATTCTTATTTCCCTTCATAGATTTATCTTATTATTTTCTGATTTTAAAGTATTTGAAAGCAAGCTAATTTTTTTTTGCTGATTTCCTAAGTATTTTACTGTATCTGACTACTAGAAAACACATTTTATGCATACCATATTTGATATCACTAATTTTAAATATTCTCAACTACTGGCTCCGCCTGGCCCTCCCACCAGGGCCATTATCCATAGTGGACAGCATGGGTTGTTGCCCCCAAATCTGAATCTGTACTGCCCAAGCTGGTAACCACTCACCAATTGTGGCTATTGAGCACTTGAAATGAGGCTATTTTAACCTGAGATGTGGTATCAGTACAACACACACACATATTTGAAGCATCCAGTATCACAAACATTTAAAAAGATCTCAATTATTTTCTTACACCGATTGTCTAGAACAGTATTTTAGACAAAATACATCGTCCCAGCCAATTATATATGTATCTTGCTTTTTTTAACACTGTTCTCAGAAAATATTATGTGCACCACTTTATTGCTGAGATAGAGCTGCTCTTTTAAAGACACTGGGCCCAAGTTTTGTGCTCCTAATTTCAACTACTGGCAAACTAGATAATGTTCCCTATCCAGGTGCTGAGATACTGAGATACTTGTCACCTTTTTTTCCTCCAGAATCCTATCCCAGTTCATAAAGAATTTCAGTTCTCTTTTCTCTTTCTCTGAACGGCATTTGAGAGCCAACTTGTTTTCTAAGTTACAGCTGATTATGTCAAGAAGAATGCAAAAGTGTCTTTCTACTGGAAAGGACAACTAACAGCATCAAATGCTTCAAAAGCAAAGGAAAGGGCCTTAGTGTTCTGTTCAAGATTTTGGCTAAAATCCCCATTGACTTCCTCATTCTCCTTTGACTAAATAAGTTTCCCCTGTAATACAGGTATTCCTTATGAAACTATTTGTTTTCAGTTTCACTTCCCTAAGAAGTACAATATTGGGCTTGCATCAACAAAGGGTTTTGCTTGGGGAAAATGCATTCACAATTCTAACAACATATCTACTAAGAATTCATTATAAACTGATGATATACAGATATCCTAAAGTAAGGTGCTAAAAATTGGAGCAGGCATAATTTGGTCAATTAAATGAGGTAAGGTAATATATTTTGGAAACCCCATGTATTATAGGTGAGATATAATGAAACAGAAAAAGTAAAGGTGAATTCCTGTGCAAGCTCTGTGAGATGTAATCACCTTAAAGGAGACTTGGGGCAAGAAAGGAAAAATAAGGCCAAAAAATGAGGGAAGGGAAAAGAACTACGTCTTGTCTTTCCAAATGGAAGGAACTCAGTTCTCTGAACAGATCAGAGGATTGGGTACCTGTGATAACCAATTTAACATGCTTTAAGTGTTCAAGAAGATTCTGGTTAATAATGACTCTGGTAAATAATGCAATCTAAGGTACTTCCCTCACTTTAGGACATGGCTATATGTGAATCCAGGATCAGTTAGATATTGAGCTCACTGTGAAGTATAAAAAATTTAATTTTAATGAGACATCTTGGTTTGCAGTAAAACTCATGAATCTCACGGAACAGGTTGTCTATACCCATCATTAGAGGATAAGCAATTTATTTGATACTTAAACTTCTTGACCACCTGGGTAAGAAAATTCATGCGTACAAATTATACTTATGAATCCCAGAGAATTTCTGAAGCTGAGTCGTTTTGAATTTAGAACCTGTATACACTCTTTATTCCAATTTATGATCTCTGTGGGGATTCCCTCAACTTTGGAATTCACCTGTTTGTATCTGTGTCCACTAAAACACTAGTTTATGCCTTTTAATAAAAATCAGTCTCATGACTATTGAATAACCTAATAGTATGATCTGAAGGACCACGGACACAAATTCAGATCCGAACATCACCTATACTTACAACCAAATGGACCTGGAATCATTTACCTTCCCTGTGAACTTCTGAGACCTTGGAAAACTAGCTTTATCTTTCTGAGCTGCAGTGTTTTGCTTTTGTTTTTAATTAACCAAATGCAAATATTTCACCTGGCAGTGTTTCATGAGATGAAGCAATTGCCTATGCACATCAAGAGGCCAGGAATCTTAAAGTATGTACACTTTTTTACAGATCTGTGAAGCTTCTGGCAGACAACAGGTTAGAATGTATGTTTCATGGTGTTAATTCTGTTGAGATTTTGGGTGGAGTTCAGCACCGTTCTCTGGAGTTCTAAATTGAGTGTTATGAGTTTTCTGATTTCGACTTAAATTCTTTTGGTGAGGCTTCTGTCTACCAGGATGGATTGATTATTTAGTAGACTGTCAAAGCCTAAGATCCATAGAGCATTTCTTCCTAGTTTCAAGTGCTTGGGTTTAAATGCAGATTGTGATTGGGCAGGTGTGGGGTGAAGCACCAACCTCTAATTTTCCAGTAACTTCCAGGTAAATGCTCATGGTGCTGGTGACACTGGTGAGCGAGGCCACTTGGTAGGACTTATTCACCTTTGTACTATTGACAGCAGGGGCTGGAAAAGTCTCTGTCATGGTTTGCTCCAGGACTGTCTGTGTAATGCCCTAGACTTCAATAGATGCCAGTAACTCCATCCCCCTACTCCAGTTATGAAATCCCAAATGCCACCAAACGTTGCCAGGATGTTTCTAGAAATCTCTCTTAGAACCGCTACCCTCTGAAATGCTACAATCAAGGTGCACTCACTCCTGCAGCTCTGAAGCAAGGTGGCTATTTAGAAGATGGGGAAACTGAGGCTGGATACAGCTCAAGAGAAAGGGTAGGTGATAGGAAACGGAGCTGTTGGCTACGAAGGTGCATAAATACACGCGGGCCGGGTGGTCCTAGAGGACTGAGTCCCACGTGCTGCGGCCCCACCGGAAGCGGGTGCTGTGGCCGAGTAGACGCTGCAGCCACGCACACCCGCCAATGGGACATAAGACTGGGAGTGCTGGCCGCCGCCTGCCTTCTGGGGAGGTCCAGGGCAGAGCGCGCGGGAGTCGGAGGGTCCCCGCCCAGACGTCGCCCTGCCGCGAGCCCCTGGCACTGAAAGCCCTGCCATATCACTACCCCGACTCCCGCCCTCCTGGGACAGATCTCGCCGGAAGCTACCCACCCAGAAGGAGTCCGTCCATGTCAAAGATGAGGTGGGTGATGGGCCGCAAGGGCGCGGGCGCCGCCATAGTGCAGCCTTCTCAGTCGGGGTGGGGGCGGGGAAGAGGTGCGCGCTCCCGCCAGTCAGCCCCGCGCACGCGCTGCCCCGGCGCGCGACCTTAGCTGCTCTGCGCACGCACGCTCTAGGCTGCTCCGCTTACGCGCCTTCCCTGGGACCTCGCTGCGCCCTCGAAATTGTACTGCGCACGCGCAGCCCACGCTGCTCCTCCCCCGCGCGTCCAGCGGAAGCCAGGCGCGAGCGCCTCTGTGCAGCTCTGAGACGCTCTACGCAGGCGCGGCTGGGACTTAAGTCACCGCAAACCTTTGCGGCCAATAGGGATGCGGTGCACAATAGCAGCCTAAGTTTGCTGGCATTGATCCCTGTTCTTTTCCTGCGCACAGAGGAGCTGAGCCACTCCACCAAGGTCAACACAAAGTGGAGTCCCTACTCTAGGGGGGGACAGATTAATGTCTTGAATTTTGAAAGGGCTCAATGAATAGGAGGGATCGGACAAGGGTCTGTAGAGTGGGTGAGGAGGAGGACGCGAAGATGCTCAGGATGGCGTGACTGCCAGCTACCAGGTTGCAGGGAACGGGCCTTGGTCATGAGATCCCGTGTAGTGGGTTCTTCTGAGCCCCAAGTGCCAGTCCCTGAACCCTGGACTGGTTTCTCTTTTGGTTTCGCCAACTCCCTCCCTGCAATCCTTGATCAATGCTAGAGAGGGCATGGTGTGTGTGCAGTGGTGCATCTGCATCTCCAAGCATCCCTGGCTTATCCAAAAGTAAAACCCTGGAGGAAAGTTGATAGGAAAGGTATTCAAGGAGCTGAACTAGTAGTAATTTTCAAAAAATACCCTGCCCTTTTCGCTTTAGGACTTTATAGCTGCTCTGTTTTCTTCCTTCTCCAATTTTTCAGAATACAAACTGAAAAGCCTTTCATAAAAATTTCTATATTCGGAAATTCCTTTGTGTCTATTTTTATTCACATTCCATATACACATTTAAGGATAAGGGGATAAGCAAGTTACAGAGATTTTAATCCATGAGGGTGTGTTTCTGGTTAAGGGTGTAGGCAGCAGGGGACACACCTGAAGTCAGCAGGAACACCTGTCACTTACGATAAATGGTGGATTTTTAGGGCTCAGTTTCCTCCTGTGTAAAGTGAGGGTGTCTAAGGAGACAAGGCAGCTCAAGCCCTTGTTACTAAGACGTAGAATATGTTAAGTAAAATGTCCTTTTAAAGTCATTGCTATAAGAGATTGTCCACCAAGTAATGCAATTATAACTTCTCTTTGAAGATGCTGGACTCAGAGAAGACAATTCATGAACAAGTTTGTAAGATTATGACCTAAATGCAATCATTCTTGGATTTTGTATTAGTTTGGTGTGGCTGCTATAATAAAGTGCCATGAACTGGGACACCTAAAGAATAGAAATATTTTCTCTCACAGTTCTGATGGGCATAAGTCCTTACATATATATTCCAACTTTTTAACTTAAAAAAAAAGGGTTAATTCAAGGTTAATTTCTTCTAATCTCATTGGCAAAGAATTTAATTCAGGTCTCCTTGACTCGTATGTGGCTTTCTTTGTATCTTCTCATATCATCTTCCTTCTATGTGTGTTTCTGTCTTCAAATTTACTCCTTTTATAAGAACACTAATTATATTGGATTAAGGCTTATACTAATAAGTACATTCAATAAAGACCCTATTCTCAAATAATGTTACATTCTGAGCAGTAGGAGTAAAGATCCCAAAATATCTTTTGGGGTGGCATAATTCAACCCATAACAGATTCATTCCTGAAACATCAGGTGGTATCTACAGTTTCCAATACTCACTAGCTATAGTCTTTAGAATTCACATTGTCAGTTTCTTTCCATTCTCTTGAAACAAATGAATAGACAGATGAGAGAGCTGTTTTTCTTTGGTCTTGTAACAGCACCACTTTCTTCTGTATTTGTTACATAATAAAGGATGTTGTTTAAAGGGGGAATAGGCCCCAATGTCAGGAATGTAAGAATCGAAAATGGCAGTGATAACCTATGTATTATAATCAATATTTGTATCAATGTAGTTGGCACCTGAGAAAGAGCTTAGAGAATTGCCTGGTTTCTAAAACATCCTAGAGATTTGTTGCAAAAATTAGCAAATGTATAGAAGTAGGAGATGAAGCTGTCAGACATTTGGGACAGAAGACACTTGGAGAGGATCACACTTGCCACATTTCACCCACTGAAGCTCAGGAAAAGGATTAGTATGTTCCTTTTCAGGAAGCAAATTACTGGCAGGAAATTCCCATTAATTACAACCAAAATGACAAAGTCATAGGGCAAATTGCAGAAGAGAACAAACTGGGAACGTTCTGGTCTTTAGCGTACTGCAGATGTGAAAACAAAAGTGGTCCATGTAATTGTTTTAAAGGCTTATTTTCTACATTTTTCCAAAATATCTCTTGCATGCATATGATGGAAAATACCTGCTCTCTTAAAAATAAAATAAAAATAATATAATACTCCTGTGTACATCAACATTTTGTGGTCACACATTAGATTGGAAAAGAATGAAGTTTTGTTCTAGGGATATGGTTTGTAGGAAAGTAACAAGCTATCCTTTAGCCTTCATGATTCTCCTACAGTCAAAGATGAACAGGTCCTATGCTGAAATCAGATGCATTTCTGCCATGAATTACAGCTTATTTTTGCACAATTGTGTTTTAGCCATGGAACAATACCTTGCTTTTCCTGACAACTTTAAAATGCAGTACAATACTGGGAAATTGCAGCACAATACTGTCAAAGTACATTAGCGACTGACAGAACAAATAAACAGGTGATCTTTTTCATACTACATATAAACTTAAGCAAGCCATTTATGATATGACATATATATTCCAATTTTTATAAAGTCTTAGTTTATGCCAACTTCCTTACTTTGCTGACTTGGTTCTGGTGCCTCTATGTGTGTGTTATATGTTGTTTTTGGAAAGCTGCTTGCAGCCCCAGTTATCTTTGGATGCAATCCTAGCCCTGAAGTTCATCAGGTAGCAGCTGGGAGCAGCTTGTTGGGCCAGTGATATGAGGTATGAAACTCTCCCACAATGTTGAGAGTCTGCATTGAGCTGCAGCTACCAGTCAGCCACAAGATCATGAAATCCAGACTCTGGTGTGCTGTGTTGCTAAGCTAGGGTGTTGAGGATGTTAGGTGTGTTCAATATATTTAAACTTAAATATTTTCAACTTACAATCATTTTGGGGGGATGTAACCCCATGGTCAGTTGAGGAACGTTTGTACCTGATACTTGGAGAGAAGGAGCTCAGCATTCTTGACCCTCTTTACCACCTTAGTAGAATCTGGAGGACAGACATTCAGGAAAAAGGTCAGGTTTGCTGCTGTCCAGTAATGTACAGCAAAAAGTGGTCCTTAGCTCAACAGTATCAACATCCCAGGGAGCTCTGTAGAAATTAGAATCCTGGGAACTGCTCGTCTGTTCTTTATCCAGGTTCCTGGGTTGTCTAGGGTAGTGACTCTCTTCTGGGATATACTAGCTTCTTCATTGTGGGTGGGGGATATGATGATCTCAATCAAAATTATTGTAATGTAAAAAAGTAGGGACTATGTTGAGCTATGCTAGCATTTATGATTTGTATGAACATTTGTGAATGGTGAACAATCTTGGGTTCTTTGAGTACTGGGCAGTTTGTTGCATCTTTGGGAAGGAAGGTAGGAGAAACACCAGCACCTTCAGCCATTTTATTTGACTTCTGCATCATGTAATATATATATTATGATAAAATATATTTTCAATTATGATATCCATTTTTGTTTGTTTTATGGTGCTGGGGATTGAACCCATGGTCTCCTGCATGCTAGGGAAGCATTCTACCACTGATCTACATGCTATTTAATTTTTAAACCCACTGTAAACAAGTGGACAGAGAGCATAAAGAAAGTCCTTTGAAAATAATAAAGCTCAGGTTCCAGTTAATAGCAAAAAATTGGAACTTCTGGCATCAGCTTGATAGCCTATACTAATGATGGGGAAAAGAAAAACCCATTATTTGTAATATCCACAACATAATATAAGTAGATACACTCTCTAAAATAGCATTTGTGGAAGGAGGGCCCTTACTAAAAGTATGGGACAGTGAGGCATGTGCTGAAACCTAACCATGCTTTAAGATTACCACTGCCTTCTTGGGATTCTCCAAGACCAGATATGACTTACTGGCTTCTGAACGAAGGGCTTAGGGTTCATCGTACCTCATTGGTTGGTGTACTAGTCTAATAGGGACAGATAGTTCTTTCCTTCCTTATTCCCTCTGCCTTCTTGCCTGCTCTTCCTCCTTTTCTTACTTTTCTTTTTTTCTTTCAATGTTCTCTCTCATCACACTCCCCTTCTGCTTTCCTCCCTTCTTTCTCCTGTTCTTAGTTCTCTCTCCTACATTCCGCTTTTCCTTTCTTCATTCCCTCCTGATTTTGGGTCTGGCTCAGTCCTCTGCCACAGCTCCCTCCCCCTAGGACCTGCTATGGGTAGTGGCATCCATAGTGGGGATGACTGAGATACTGGGATCTTGCCTTCCTGCTGTCTCTTTTCACCACATTCACGAGGAGGAGCACCCCTCACCCTGCCTGCTGAATCTTCTCCTTGAATAGCATGCCCCCAGCTTGGCCTCCCTGTACAGAGTACTGTCTCTAACTTGTGTGTTTCATAATTGCCATTTCTGATTAAACCATCTGTGCTCCTGATGGGCTTTGATTCTGTGTGGATTGTCATGTAAGTTGCATAGCACTGTAATAGGCTTTTAAAAGTGTTTGTAAAGGTCATGTGCTGAAAGTTTCATAACCAGTGTTGTAATAGCCACCAGCTCTCAAATGACTGGGATATACTCACTACTTTATAAATGATCTCTTAGTACATTCTCTCTGCAATCTTGCAGAATAGGCAATGCAGTACTTGTAGAAAACAGGAAATGGTACTTGAGAGAGGAGACATAGCCTGCTGTTGGTAATACATCTGAAAAGACATAGGGCAAGTTGGCCCTCAGTTGGTCTTACTTTTCCAACAAGAGCCAAAAAGCAAAACTATTATTATAATTTTTATACATTTAAAATTTTCTTATACTGTAGGTAAATCATCAAACCCATAACGTGAATAAGCAATTAATATGAAA